ACAGTGTAGCACCTCCTCAAAAGGTTAAACCCAGAGCCACCATCTGGTCCAACAGACCATTGCCAAAGGTCTCACACTATGGTTAGCATGCCTGTTCGGCTCTAGGACAGGATCTCTCTCCCTTGGCACTATTGACATTTAGGTGCTGGATGATTCGTGGCTGTGGGGTCATCCCGGGAACTGTGGAGGGTTGAGCAGCATCCTTGGACCCCATCCACTCAATGCCAGGAGCACCCCCAGTCACGATGACCACAGATGTCCCCAGACATTGTAAATGTGGGGGAACAAAGTCACTGCTCCCTCCAGGGCCTGGTCCTCAAACCTGAGCATGCACTGGAATCTCCTGAGGGCCAGATCAAGCCCCTAGTTTCTGATTCAGTAGGTTTGGGGTGAGGCCCAAGAACTTGCATTTCTAAAGGACCCCAGGTGCTGCTGGAGCCTGCTTGGATCCCCACTGCTGATGCACCGCCCCTGCCACGCAGGACCTGCAGCCTGGCTCTAGTCTCTCTGACTCTGAGGAGCCAGGGGCAGTGGCTGTGGCTGTTTTTGGAAGCACTCAACAAAAGCTGCCTGTCCCGCCTGGAGTCGAGAATTTGTCTATTCCGCCTTTTGCCGGTAGGTGGCAGCAGTGACTGTTTGATAAAGGTGGCAGGTCTGGGGAGCGAGGGATGCCTGGGTAATTCCATTTGTCTTGCCAAAATAATAACAATAATAACAACAACATTGTCTGTTCACATGACTGGGTGCTCACCCTGGGCCAGGCAGTGGGGATCTGCAGTGAACAAAATTTCTAGTCCTCGTGGAGCAGACACTCTAGATAAATATCACCAAGTGATAGTAAGCAGTGGGGAGACAGTGAAGTAAAGAGTGAGCCAGGAGAGAACAGGACCACTGGAGATGGGGGCTTCCCTCACACCTCAGTCCCACGTGGCCAGTGGCCAGGGCTTTAGGGAGAATTTGCTGTGAAACTGTGTACCTGGTGGGGTGCACTTCTAGCCCCCCGACCCGTGAAGGCTGTGGCACTTACACTGTCCTACAGACTTGTTGTAAGGATTAAATGAAATTATGTAAAGTGTTTAGAATCAAAATCGTGTCTGGTTCCAAATAAGTACTCAGTAAATATTAGCCATTATTAATTAGTAATAATGACAATTATTGACATTAATAATGACTATTGCATTATATCATTACATCATTAGTGTCAGCCTCTAAAACCTGGGAAAGCAGAGAACCAGCTTGGTTATTATTGTGTTCAAACTAAAAGTTAAAGGTCTATGAGCAAAGAGGTTGGCTTTTTAAAAATTTTATTTACTTATTTTTAGAAAGAGGAAGGGGATGAGAAAGAGGGAAACATCAGTGTGTGGTTGCCTCTCATGCACACCCCACTGGGGACCTGGCCCGAGACCCAGACATGTGCCCTGACTGGGAATCGAAACAGCGACTCTGTGAATTGAAAGCCTGCGCTCAATCCATGGAGCCACACCAGCCAGGGAAAGAGGTTGGATTTTAAAATTTGGTGTTACTTGAGTTTGCTTTTTGGAAACCGATGTTTTCAGGCCAAGGGAAGTGACCAGTGGTTGGTGGCTGGTGAATTCCGTGTGTGTGTGTGTGTGCGCGCACATGTGCATGTTTGTGTGTGTGCACATGTTTGTGTGTGATGGGGTCCTGGAACCCTCTAAGAATCTGGGCAGGTAGGCAGAAATTCATTTGTCAAGAGATCGGCTGGGGGCAGCATAGTGTTCTATAACCGCCAGGAAACAGGAGGTGGCACTTTCCCGTCCTCTTCGAGGTCCAGCAGGCTTTGTCTGGCCTTGTTAGGCATTTAAAGGAAGTCCCCTCACCTCACCCTTTTTCTGGAAGGAGTTTGGCCTGAGGATCACCACAGAAGTGGGAAACACCTGAGGCCACACTGCTGCCCCTTGCAACCTCAGAAAGTCAGCGGGATGATGAACTGGGTAAACACAGGCCACACAACTTGAGAGGAATGTGCAGCTCAGGGAGGCTTTCAGGGAAGCCCCTCACCTCCCACAGACTCATTTCTTGACAGCCTCGCAGAGGTAGACAAGCTTATGGCCACCCAGCTGGTCAGCAGCTGACCCAGGCTTCAGACTGACTCCAGGGCACTTTCTGCTGCCATTAAGCTTACATTTGGGGAACCAATTCCATGTGTTTTTTCAGCCTTTTGGTGTTGGACACGAACCTGTTGCCATGAGTTTTGAGGGTCATGTTATGTGAGAAAGGTGCTGGATGATGAACATCAAAACAAAAGGGACTTTATCAGTTGAAGTTCATGGTCTATAAAGGACTGAAATCATGACTCAAATTAGTTTAAGTCAAAAAAGAAAAAAACGACCCCCCCCATACAGGAAAGCTCAAAGGCGACCTGACTCAGGCATGGCTGGATCCAGGTTCATCAACAATGTTGTCAAAGCATGGACTGCTTTTTCTCTCTGGGATCTGCTCTCTTCTGTTTTGGTTTCATTCACAGACAATTTCCACTGCTAGGTGGCAAAAATGATTCCCAGTACCTCCAGGCTTACACCCTACTCTGTATTTCAAAGACCCAGGAGTAATTCTCATTGGTCTTACTTGAGTCACATGTCTATTTCTGACCCAGTCACTGTGGCCAGGGGGAGGAAAATGTTCTAATTGATAGGGCTGAGTTGGCCATGGGGTCCTGGTACTTGAACTGAGAGTTGGGGAGGGACAATCTCCCACAAAAACAACTGGGATGACAGGTCCAGAAAAAGTATCTGGGTGCTGAGTGGGCAGAATGCAGATGCCACCTGTAGCAGGGTTTTCACTTTAGGGGATGCCAATCTATCCATCTCCTTTTCCACCCAATCTGGGTCCTGGGAACATGAGCTCAGGTGGTTCCCTCACCTCTTTCTGACCAGGGGCTAATGCTAAATAAGATTCCACTATGTGATGAACCAGACTTTGTGTATTCATTCATCTGTTTAGGAGTAGGTAAGTTTTTCCACCCTTTGGCTATTGTGGGGAATGCTGCTGTGAACATGGGTGTACAAATATCTGTGAGTGCTTGCTTTCAATTCTCTTGTGCACACACTATACTTAGTGTGGAACTGCCAGGTCACAGAGTAATTGTGTTAAACTTTTTGAAGAACCACGAAACTGTTTGCAAAGGCAGCTGCACAATTTTACACCCCTCTCTGTATGTCTTTTTGCATTTTGAGAAATTAAAAACTGGCAGAAAATTACATTGATGAGATTGGTTTGGGGAGAGGGGGGTACTTCATTTTTTACATGCAGAAAATTTAGGCATTTAAAAAACAATTTTATTAATTTCATATGATCTCACCTTTAACGGGAACCTAAACAACAAAACAAACAAACAAGCAAAATATAACCGAAGACACTGAAATAGAGAACAGGCTGACAGTGACCAGAGGGGAGAGGGGAGGGAATTTCAGGTGAAAAGGGGAAGAAGGGTTTACAGGAAGAAGTATAAAGGACACATGGACAAAAACTAGGAGGGGGCGGAAGTGGGAGGGAGGTGGGAAGAGCTGGGGGGATGGGCTGGGATGAGAGTAAAAGACAGAGACTATATTTGAACAACAATTAAAATAAAAAAATTAAAAACCCCACAATTTTATTCATTTATTTTTAGAGAGAGGAGAAAGGAGGGAGAAAGAGAGGGAAAGAAACATCAATGTGAGAGAGAAACATTGTACCTTCCCTGACCAGGGACTAAACCAGCAACCCAGTCATGTGCCTTGACTGGGGAATCCAATCTGCAACACTTTGCTTTGTGGGTCAACGCCCAATGAACCGGGCCACGCCTGCCAGGGCTAGGCAGTATTTTTAATAACATGCCAATCAGAGATCACCGTCAATTTTTTTTTTTTTGACTAATCAACAAACAGGGGTCCTTTCAGACCTGGGTTTTTCTCTTTTCTTAGCAATAGGGTTAAACCAGGGTTTTCCAGCCTCTGCACTGTGGGCATTTGGGGCCGATTCTGTTTGTGGCGAGTGTCCTGTGTACTGTACGGTGTTGAATGGCATCCCTGGCATCCAGGTTTTGATGTCATTGTATGCCACGTGCACCTCCCAGTCACAACCGCAAATGTCCCCAGACATATCGCCTCAGTGCCCTTTTGGGGTGGGGTGGGACAACTGCCCCTGATTGAAAATCACTGGTTTAAACCTGTTTAACTAGAATCAGTAACTGGATTCGCTCATAAAATGAGAATGGCTTGTCTAGGAGAATCAAGAGGTCCCCTTCGCCCACTATATAGCTGGGAAAACTGGGGCCAATAGTTGACCAAAGACCCAGACCAGAATTGGAAGCTGATTCCATCCAGTGGGGCAGCTCCCGGAGAACTACGTGGCAACAGCAAACTGGGCGCGGGTGAGTGACTGCAGCGGGTGTCATGTGCTCCTCTGACTCAGTGTCCTACTCTGCTGATTTCCCAAAAGGCCAACTTTTCCCCGCCCGCTTGGGTCTCGAACCTACAATTCAGCGCACTCCTGCGCTCCTGCGGTTCGTGGGACTAGAGGCCAGGGACCGGATAGGTGAGGGACTGGCCGAGCCCAGGTGGCCACGGGCGGCTCTGTGGGGATTGTAGTCCTGACCCCGCCTCCCTCAGGCACCGCCCTCTCCCCTGGAACTACGCTCCCATCGTGCTCCGCGGTGCCAGGAGGAGGCTGAGCGAGCGGGCGGGCTGGTTGCTAAGCCTTGGGAAAGCGCAAGGCTCACGCCTTTCTCCTCAGGTAAGCGCGCGGCCTCCGGCTCTCGGGCTCTCGTGTCCCAGGCTTCCGGGGAGGGCGGGCTGGGGAGGCCACGTGGGTCTCGGCTTCGGGTGGCGCTGGCCGCGCTGGGGCGAAAGGGCATCCAGGCCGGACTGGCACGCGCCTCGGACAGTCCGGGGAGCGTCGCGTGTGCGCGTGCGCGCGCGCGTGGGCCGGGCTCCGGGACCTGGCTCCATGCGCCCATCACCCTTCTGCGCGTGCGTGCGCCCCTGAGGCGCGGCCCTAGGACCCCGTGCGTCCAGCGGCTTCGGGCGCTCCCTGCTCTCGGGTCTTCAGGACCAGCCCTCTGCCTCCGGGCTGGTTGACCATCTTCCTCCTCGTCTTAGGTAAAGGTCCGTAATCTTTCCTGTGTCCTGAACATCGATGGTTCTCTTTCTGATACTTATGGGAAGTGTGAGTTTTCAAGGCCCTTTCTAAAAAAAAAAATATCGTCACCCAGCGGTATGTGTGTTGATTTGAGAGAGAAACATAAATGTGAGAAAAAAACTTAAGCCTGTTCCCGCCTACCCATAGATGCCCCAACAGGTATGGAACCTACAACCTAAGTATGTGCCTGGACCTGGGATCGAACCTGTATCTTTTGGTGTATGGAGGATTCTCCAACCAAGCCACCTGGCCAGTGCTTAAGGCTTTTTCTGATCTCAACCCAAATAAGGGGCTCTCTCCAACTCCCCACAAGCCCAAGATTCTTGGACTTTCATGCACAGAAGGCCCACTTGTAGGGTACCACATCTAGCAAATGAACATTCAGGATACCCAGCTGAGTTTGAATTCCACAAACAATGAATACCTTTTTTTTTTTTTCTTAGTATAAGTATGTCCCAAAGATTGCATGGGGCACAGTTACACTAAAAAATTCCCCCCATCAGGAATTGGAATTTAACAGGGTGTCCTATGTGTTATCTGGCAACCGCACTCCATGTAGGAGCTTGTTAGAAATGCAGATTGCAGCGCCCTGGCTGGTATAGCTCAGTAGATTGAGCACGGGCCTGTGAACAAAAAGGTGGTCAATTCGATTCCTAGTCAGGGCAGATGCCTGGGTTGCTGGCCAGGTCCCCAATTAGGAGTGTGGGAGGGGCAATCACACACTGATGTTTCTCTCCCTCTCTTACTCCTTCCTTTTCCCTCTCTAAAAAATAAATAAATCTTTAAAAAGAAAGAAAGAAAGAAATGCAGATTGTGGCCCCCTCCCCGTTGTGGGGTGAGGTCCTAGAAAATGTATTTAAAACTGTGGGTGTATCTGAGGCTGCAGCATTGGTTATTCCTTCTGCTCAGGTCTTCCTACCCTGCTTTGATTGTTTTCTAGGCCCTGCTGTGGGTCACTGCCTCTGAAGAGGTGAATTTTCTTACTTTGTGCCCCTGTGTGCTTGCATGGTGGTGATGGATTCCCTTTTATAGAGGGGGAAGCTGCAGTGTGGGGGAGGACAGGGCCAGGCTCTGGTCTTTCTAATCCACGGATAAAATAAGTCCTCCTTGAGGTTTACATTGTCGCCTGCAGAACCTGACTCAGCTCACTAAATAAGCACCATTTCCAGTGTCCCTCCCAGAGCCAGAGTCCACGCCTGCTGAGACCCCGCCCACTGCCCTCCCTACCAATCTCCCAGAGTGCTGCTGCCCAGTGTCCCCAGGAATTCCATCATACACCTGTTTTCCAGTTCCATGCCATTGGAGGGCAATCTTAAGCTGCTAAGAGGACTTGCAATTGGGGGTCTATCTCACTGGTCCACCAGACCTTCCAGGGGCTGCCAGTGGAGTTGAGCCTCTGGCCTTGGACAGTTGGTGCCCAGGGCAGAGGTGCCACCACCATAAATGTAACTAGGTCATCTGAAGAGGCTCTGGCTGCCCCCTGGAGACCAGAGGACTGGCATTTTTAGAAGGCAGCTAATGGTGCAGGCAGAGGAGATGGGCACACCCAGAGAAGGGACTGAGCTAGACAGGATCACAGAGAGCTGGGTGGGGTGGGGGTGGAGCAGACGGGTGGGTCACAGGTACAGTCAGGGCGCCTGGAGCTTGGGGCTTCGAGGATGGAAAGAGGAACCCCAGAGCAGCAGCCGCCTCCCACTGTGCTTCAATCCCTGGATGTGTTTAAGCAAAAATGTTTGTGTGTGTTCAGTTCACATGTGGACTGGCACTCCCTGTAGGGTTTTTGGGGTTGCGGGCTTGGGTGGGTCACCCTCTGTAGAACCTGTTTATTTCTCATCTGTGGAGTGGGGTCAGGACCCCTGTCTTGCAGAGGAACTCGAAATGCAGAGTCAGTAAGCTGGTAAGCACCAGCCACATGCCCTGGTCAAGGCCCTCCACCTCAGGGAGCCTGGTCTTGTCCTATAGAAAGGGAGCAGTCCCAGGTCTCTGGGAAGGGTAGAGGAGCCCACTCATGGAGATGTGAGGACACATGGTGTTACGGAAGGGCAGCTGTCATCCGAGGCAGGCCTTGTTTGGGGTTTGCTGACCTAGTGACTGCCTGATGTCCTTCCCCTGTCCATTTTCTTTCATAGCAGCTTTACTGAGATGCAGTTCACGCATTTAAAGTGTATGTTTTAGTGGTTTTTAGTATAGTCATAGGGTCGTGGATATGTCATCACTATCTAACTCTAGAACATTCTGTCACCCCAAAAAGAAACCTGTCCCCATTAGTAGTCACCCTCACCCCTCTTTCCCAGTCCCTGTCAACCACTAACCCACTTTCTGTCTCTGGATTTGCTTGTTTTGGACATGTCATATACATGTCACATGCATGCGCACACACTGCGTGGCTTTTATGTCTGGCTTCTCTCCCTGAGTGCCATGTGTTCAAGGTCCTTGTGTGCTGCAGTGAGTGTCAGAGCTTCACTCCTTTTCCTGGCTGAGTAGTACTCCAGTGTGAGCACGAACCACCTTGTGTTTATCTATTATCTGTTGCTGGACACAGATTTCCACCTTTTGGCTGTTGTGAATCCTGTTGCTGTGAACATGTATATACAGGTTTCTGTGTGGATGTGAGTTTTCTGTTTTTCTGGGCACATACCTAGGAGTGGAGGGGAGTTGCTATGTCAAATGGCGACCATCCGGTGGTATTTATCTGTTCCCTTTAGAAGCTGGCCAAGCCAGACATGTCCCAAAGGCACCGCCTTTATTTGTCTCTTGTTTTGCTCAGACAGAGGTTGAACTCGGAGAAACAAGTAAAGCTGTGTCTGTGTTTTTCTTGCAGATAGTGAGAGTTTTCATGGCCCAGGACAGGCCATACGGGGTGTGGGGTCCTGGGCACACTGTGTACTGGGAGCAGATTTAGAGTTGGCACTGTGGACGCTTCTGTGGGCCCCACCCAGCACAGGCATTATGGACGCATGAAGGGCACCCTTCGCACGTTCCACTTCTCGTGGCTGCTATTGGTGTCCTGGTTCACTATGTTTGTCACACTTGTATTGTGAGCTTAGGACGCATTGTGGTGGGTGAGGACCTCACATGCCCTGTGAAGGGCCTGGCCGATGAATAAATGGGGGCCCATGGGGCCAAGGAGTACATGGCAGGGCACATCATGAGCAGGAAAAGCCCACGGTTGTAAAATGATTTCAGTATTTCCTCTCCACAGGGGAGAGGTGGGAGGGGCTGGTCCACTCCAAGTACCTGGCTGGGCAGCATGTTCTGGGCGGGCAGCGGCACCTGAGCTACTCTGGAATCTAGCTGAGATGATCTGTGGTTTATCTCTAATGTTCGCCAAGGCAGCTCTGACCAATAGGAATAGAATATGAGGCACATATGTAAAGTCAAGTTTTTTGGAGGCCACACTTTTAGGAAGTACAAAGTAACGGTTACAGTTAATTTTAATAATGTATTGAAGTTAACCTAACACATGAAATGTTATCATTTCAACACATAGTCAATAAATAAAAAGTAATGAGATAGTTTACATCCTTCCTTTCACATTAAGTCTCTGAGGCTCAGTGTTCATTTTTGCTCACTGCGTATCTCAAATAAAAAGGGGGAAAAGTCGATGGTGGGTTAAGCTCTGCAGACCAAGAGCTGGTAGGACTAAGTGAGAGCATGACCAGCGGTGCGTTTCACTCAGGCTGGAGCTCTTGGACGAGGCCTCAGATTCGGCACGCTCCTGGGACGGATTCCTCGGCTCACCCAGGCCTCCTGTGGCTGACAGATGATGCTCTGCTCCGATCTCTGTCTCCCACAGTCAAAGCTCTGCCAAGGATGGACCCCCTGGGTACCATGGAGCAGTGTGAGGACAAGAAGGCTGGGAGCCCACACCCAGAGCCTGCTCCGTGGCAAGCCCTTCCTGTCCTGTCGGAGCAGCAGTCCAGGGATGTGGAGCTGGTGCTGGCCTATGCTGCGCCCATCCTCGACAAGCGCCAGACCTCACGACTCCTCAAGGAAGTGTCAGCCGTCCATCCACTGCCCGCCCAGCCTCACCTCAAAAGGGTTCGGCCGAGCCATGATGCCAGCTGTCCACACACACTAGAGATACTGTTGTGCTTGGCGGGGCCGGCTGTAGGCACACGATCTCTGGCTGAGCTCCTCCCGTGGCCTGCAGTGGACCCCCGTGGCCTGGGACAGCCCTTCCTGGTGCCCGTGCCTGCCTGGCCACCCCTGACCAGGGGCCAATTTGAGGAGGCGCGAGTGCACTGGCCCACATCCTTCCACGAGGACAAGCATGTGACCCGTGCCCTGGCTGGGCGGCTTTTCTCGGCAGAGGAGCAGGCTGAAATGCAAGGCCACATGGAGCGGGCTGTGCGGGCAGCACAACAGGCGGCCACCAGGGGCCTAAGGGCTGTGGGGGCTGTAGTGGTGGACCCAGCCTCAGGACGGGTGCTGGCCACAGGCCATGACTGCAGTAGCGCAGCCAGCCCTCTGCTGCATGCCACCATGGTGTGCATTGACTTGGTGGCCCAGGGCCAGGGTCAAGGCACCTATGACCTCAGGCCTCACCCCGCCTGCTCATACACCCCAGCTGTCACCCCTCTGGGTGTCCAGACCATCTCTGTGCGCAAGATGGACGAAGACGCAGACGTGGAAGAGGATGGCCTTCCCTACGTGTGCACTGGCTATGACCTCTACATTACCCGTGAGCCCTGTGCCATGTGTGCCATGGCCCTGGTGCACTCTCGTGTGCAGCGTGTCTTCTATGGGGCACCTTCTCCCGACGGCGCCCTGGGCACCCGCTTCCGCATCCACGCGAGGCCTGACCTCAACCACCGTTTCCAGGTGTTCCACGGTGTGCTGGAGGCCCAGTGCTGCCAGCTGGACCCCGACACGTAGGCGCCGTGCTTGCTGGCTCCAGACTGTCCCCTGCTCTGCCAGCCTCAGCTTCCTCAGACCCGTGTGGGCCTTGGCTCCCTCGTTGTCATCCAGGGGCTGCAATCCTGTTTGTGGGTTTCAGGGACACGCCTCCGGGCCCTGGAGCCCGTGCCCACACCATTCCCACCAGTGCGCGGGGCTGCATTTCTGCCTGGCCAAGGTTTTCTCTGGGCTGGAGCTTAATGGGGGTCTAGTCAGACCTTGTCATCGAGCACTCAGGCCTCCCTCCTTCGTCCGCCTTCACACTGAACCCACAGGTGCACTGGGGTTGTGTCCCCTTTGTCTCATCTGACCCGTGAAAATAAACACAACCCCCAAACCGGGTTGGTGTCTGTTGACATTTGTGGGGCTGGTTCCACGGAGTGCCTCAATGTGCATGGGGAGGGGAAGCTTCTGAATCCACTGTGAGCAGAGCTTGCTCGAGTCCTGGCTCTGGAAGGGTGTAGCAGGCTAGGGTGTGGCTGGACTCAGTTGATGGAAAGGCTCCTTTGGGGTTGTCATTTCCCATCCTTCTTAGGTAGCCAGAGGAATCCCCAAAGACTGATTGCCACAGAGCAGCCAGCACTAGAACCAACTTGTGTGGGACTCCCAGCAGGCCGCTTGTCCATCCAGCAGCCATGCACTATCTGACCATAAAGACATTGCAAGGATTCCAAAATATCCTTGTCCCAAGCTGACCCTTAGGCCCCTGGGGATGCTCCCAGGCTGTGGGGACAGGGCAGGCAGGGGCCCCTACCTGGGAGCCAATGCACTGGACAGATATGGGTGAGGCATGAGCCTGCTTGCCTTGGCTGGCAGGGTGAGCCAGCCAGGGCAGGACAGAGGGTCTCGGTGAGAACATCGATTAGCTGAGGGATGGGCCCTGGGCACCTCAGCATCACTGGAACCTTTTTGCCTGCACTGTGGGTGAGAAACACATTCCCAGTGCCTGGCCCCAAGTATAACTCCTGGCCTCCTTTGGTGTAAAGTGTCCCCTGGACCTCCACTTGGGTTGTAGTGGGGCCCTTGGCCCTGCAAGCCTCGTAGTGGAGGAAACCAGAGAGTCAGTGTGAACCTGGTCCTGGTGATCTGGAAGTTGGGCCCTGCATCTGTAATGAGGCTCTCAGAGCTATCTCTGGATAAAGGGTGAGGGAGGATGAGGTGGCAGGAGGGTAGTGTAGGTGGTCACTGGATTCCCAGAAATGGCCTGGCTTCAGGCTGGCCTGAGGTTGTCAGGGGGCTGCAGCTTGACCTCCCGCCATTGCAGATGCTGCCCAGGGGGCTCTGAGGTGAAGTGATGGCTCGGGTCACTTGTTAGGGGTGGCCTTTCAGGTAAGAGCCCAGACACCCCATGAATAGCCTGGAGGTTAGAACTCTGTTGTAGCCATATGGGCTGCAGCTGGTGTTGGGGTCACCTAACAGCCACAGGGTCCCCCTGACTGTTGCTGTTTCCCCTCCAGGTGGCTGCAGGCTTCAGCCTCACCAAGTCATCACAGCAGAAATGTCAGGTGAGTCTTTCCTAGGGGCTCCGGGGGTTTCTGTGTCTGTTCCTCTGGGAAGTGTCCCCAGGTGGCCAGACCTGTTATGACCACTGCAGGCACCTACCTCACATTCCTCCTTCCACAGTGGCTGTCAGAGTTGCCTCCCAGCACCGAGCAGGTGACAGGGAGGTGCCTGGTTTCCACATGAGCTGTCAGCCAGCATTTGGCCCAGCCAGGCCTTCTGCTGGGAGTCGTTTCGTTGTTGACACCATGGGTGGACCCCATGGGTTGGCCAACCCTATACTTGGTAAATAAATTGAGTCAGGTGACCCAAAGTTTGGTCACCTGAGTTCATGCCCCTACATGTAAGATGACCCCCTCATTTACTCATGGAGGCTGTGGTGAGCCCCCAGGGTGGCCTACCTCGTCCTGCTTGGAAATGGGCAGAGCATACAAGTGAAGTCAGGTGGACCGTAGTTAGCCCACTGGGGGCCGATCTGGGATTTGAACCCAGACACATGAGTTCCAAGTCAATGCAGAATGTCTCACCAGGAAAACAAGGTGTCAGGGGCCTCGAGATCCAGCTGGTGGTTTTCTGCCTCCTTCCTGTCATTGTGTGTTCTGGTGGGACTGACTGCTGGGAATATCACCCCGTTCTTCCTGTGGGGGCTGGACGTCTGTCAGGAAAGGAGCGGGTCCCAAGGGCCGCGGGAGCAACAGGACCTGGGGCTGGGTGGCTGGGTGGGGGACTATGGTTGGGGTCTGGGTTGCCTGGCCGCAGGGCTTGGTTGGGGACCATCAGTGGGGTTTGAGGCCAGCGCGGAGCTGGCTGCCTCCATGCTGGGGAGAGTCCTCCCTGCCGGCTCACAAGGAGGGCAGAGGGCAGAAGCCCTGCCTCTCATGGTCTCCTAGAGATACCCAGCAGGCAGCATGGGGCTCTCCAGGCTTCCTGTGTTGTTGGGATGGCCAAAAAGTTCATTTCGTTTTCTCCATATGATGGCTCTAGTAGTGCTTAGTTGTCTTTTTCATTAGGAAGAAATTTGTTAGATTGTATTATAACAGCTGTCATATCAGCGTGCACTTTTTAAAAAACATCAGAATTGGTGAATTTTTATTTAGCCATTTTAATGTTGAAGGTGGAAGAAAATGCATTTTCAGTGTATTATGTTTTATTATTTCAAGAAAGGTAAAAAGGATTTGTGTATGGAGAAGGTCCTATGACTGATGGAACGTGTCAAGTGGTTTGTGACGTTTCTTGGTATATTGACATTTTGGCCCAATAATTCTTCACTGTGGGGCTGCCTTAATGCATTGGAAGACATTTAGCAGCTCCCTGGCCTCCACCCACTAGAAGCCAATAGCGGGAGATAGCTGACTTACTCAAAATATCCACATCAATAAAATTATGGGTAAAAATGAAAAATAGGTCTTTTATTTTATCGAAAAAACTAAACAGATTTTTTGGCCAACCCTATAGTTGGTAAATAAATTGCTGAGGCTTTTCAGTGACCCTCAAGGTATGGCTGTCCCCACCTCCTCCTTCCTCTAGCTCCTGATTGTGCTGCTCTTAGACAGGCAGGAGCTCACCCCAGGGCCTTTGCACTGACAGCATCCTCTCCCAAAATCCACTGGGCTCCCTTCTTCACCTCCTCAAGTGCAAATGCCGCCCTTTAGTGAGGCCCACCCTGGCCCTACTTTTAAGTCACAGCTAACTGACATCCCTAGCCTTGTCCCTGGTGGCCCCACCTGCTCTGGTGGTTCCTCTTTACACCACTCAGCACGTGTCAGCACACTGCACAGTTACCCATCTGTCACGGTGGTTGTTGGTCCCCCTATTGAGGTGGAGCCCAAGGACAGGGCTCCGTGTGTGTTGTCCTTCACACCCTGGCAGGTGCGCAGGAGCATGCCCTGTGGTGGTGGGGGTGAGCAGAAGCACACTGAGAGGCGGCAGGGCAGCCCTGGCCTCACCCTGCTACTGGTCAGATCATGCCCCTAAAGAGACGTGTGCAAGTCCTGACCTCTAGTCCCTGTGAAAGTGACCTCATTTGGGAATAGGTATATTTGTAGGTGTATTTGTTAAAATGGGATCACACTGGAATAACGTGGCCCTAGTGAAATAACAGTTGTCCTTATAAGAAAAGGGAAATTTGGACACCAACACACAGAGGCCATGTGGCCAATGGAGGCAGACACAGGGCTGATGTAGCCATAAGCCAAGGAGCCCCAGAAGCTGGAAGAGGCAGGAAGGACCCTTCCCTTGAGCCTTGGGAGAGAGCATGGCCCTGAGACGCCTTGATCCCAGACCTCTGGCCTTCATATTATAAGAGGATAAATCTGTTCTTTTAAGCCTCCAGTGTGTGGCTGTTTGTTACAGGATGCTTATAAATTCCAAGTACCAGAACCATCCAGTCCAGTCTATGAATTTGTGAGTTTCCTGTGTTGGCGCCAAGAAACCACCGCAGATGTAGTGACTTAAACAGGATTTGTCAGGAGATCGACATGGGCCTCATGGGGCTAAACCCAGGCGTGGACAGGGCCAGTCATTCCTGAGACTCCAGGGAGAACCATTCCAGCCTTTTCCAGCTTCTGGAGGCGCCGCTTCCCTGGCTCATGGCCTCTTTCTCCATCGTCACAGCCCGGAGCGTAGCCTCTTGCATATCTGACTCTGACTCTTTCCTTCCTCTTAAGAGGACCCTGTAAGGACACCAAGCCCCGCTGAGGAACCCAGGATCATCCCCATTCTTGGGGCTTTGACTTAAACCCATTTGCAGAGTCCCTCTGCCATGTGAGGCAATACGTGTACAGGTCCCAGATCAGAATGGGGACATATTTACCTTGCTGCCCCAGCCTGGTTTAGTCCGATGGTGCTCTTGTGTCCCCATAGAAAAGGAGAACAACTTCCCGCCACTGCCCAAGTTCATTCCTCTGAAGCCTTGTTTCTACCAGAACTTCTCCGATGAGATTCCCATTGAGCATCAGGTTCTAGTGAAGAGGATCTACCAGCTGTGGCTCTGTGAGTGGTGGGTCGGGCTGCGGGAGATGCGGGCGGCTCCTTGACCATTGCAGAGACCCAGGCCATGAAGCTGCCCTGTCCTTGGGCTGGAAGAGCCTAGGGTTTTTGTAGTAAATTTCCTTTCTGTTACAACTCGGTCCCAAAGGAGGCATGGTGTGGCAGATGGGGCAGATGGGGCTGGCCAGCTGGGCAGGAACCTCTGTCCCCTGAGACTTCTCTGACCCTTGCTCTTTGTGCAGTGGGGCAGAGGGTGTCCTGGTGCTTGTGATGCTTGTGCGCTAAACCCTAAACCCCCATTCAGCCTCCTTGCCTCCCCTCCCCAGTCTACTGTGCCACACTAGGGGTCAACTTTGTCGCCTGCCTGGCCTGGTGGATTGGCGGTGGCTCAGGAGCCAACTTCGGCCTGGCCCTGGTCTGGCTGCTGGTCTTCTCTCCCTGTAGCTACGTGTGCTGGTTTCGGCCTGCCTACAAGGCCTTCCGGTAAGTGGGGCCCTGGCCGTGCCCTTGTGGGGCCTAGGGGTAGCTGTGCTGGCAGTGGGCTCAACACTGAGTAGCCAGGATGCCCCCAACCATGTGTGCCCAGCTCAGTCAGTTCTTGTACTTGGAACCTGCGCCTGCTCTGTACCTGTCACCCTAGCCCAGGTGCTAGTATTCCTCCTTCTCTCCAATTTGACTGGCAGCTTGTATCAGGGCCTACGCACTATTACCCAGTTACCCACAGATGCCTGTTATGTTGTGTCTTTTAATAGCTCGCATTCCATGCAACTCACTTAACATTTAAGCATTTTTAGAGTCCTCATACGGTTGTATAACCATCACCTCCAATTCCAGAACATTCTCACCACCCCAGAAGAAGCTCTGTCCCCCTTAGCA